TGTGTGTGGGGGGGTGTTTAGTCAAACCCAGTTTTAGTACTGCTGACCTAATACTTACTAAATCAATAAAAAAACGTTAATTTGAAAGACATGCTTTTAAGACCCAACATCCACTTACTTTTACTGCAGCCAAACAGGTTGTGGACATCCAAATTACTAGCATCGGGAACACAGTTGTCACATTTCAAGCCAGTTACAAATTGTTTACAAACACACTGTCCAGTAACAAGATGACAAGTTCCACTAATGGCTCCTGCAGGATGACAATTACAGTGCTGACATCTATAAACAAAAACAAATCAAGGAAGTGATCAAAACACATTAACACTTCAGTTAAGCACAGTAGGGTTATGTTTAAAAGATTCTTGGTAACATAATTAAAAAAATCATAAACAGTTCAGTAGCGTGAGACACGGTAAAAAAAAAAAAATCTATTAGCCTGATCAAAAAAATAAAATTACAAAAAAGGTTCCTATTATAATAATAAACATCTCAATGCTAGAATAATATTCTAATTTCGACAAAAACTCCTTAGAACTAAATAGCTTTTATATACACTGATCAATACACAAACTGGATAATAATGTTTGGTAATGACCACATTATGCACTCAGTCCTGCAACCTTTCTTGCGGAACTGTAGAGTTCAGTGATACATGTGTAACTTTCATAGGTTTCTGCACAAAATGTGCAACCTTCAAACTTAGAGGAAGCTAAGGCTTTTGTTGAAAAATAAATCAATTAATAATTTCTTGTCCACGAAGGCAATTTGAAGTTGAAAAAAAATAACACACTGCAAATAAAGGAGAATGAATGAAGACGAAAACCGTGAGGAAGAAAATCTCAGATTAAAACAGTGAAAGGAAACAAAATAGCAAGAGATATAATTATTATAACAGAAAGCACATTCCCTTTGCAGGGTGATGGACAAAAATGAAATAACTAATAAGAATATTTATTTAAATGTGTGAATTAAATTCGAATTTAAAAGAACAAAAAATTTAAAAGCATTGGTATCACACAAATGACACATTTCAATTCTGTAAATAGAGTACTTTCAGGATTAGTTTATGCTTTGGCTTTTGCATGTGAAACCTCTCATGATCTACTTGTTTTTCACTTGATATAGTATTTCCCCACTGACATTCATTTACAGCAGGGACACCAATGTCAGATTATGCAAATATTCAAAGACTTGGAACATTTTAGAAGTTAAGCAAAGCAATTTTTAAATTTTTTCCTTACTGTAAATACTGTTATGCTACCTACTGCAATACAGGATGCCATTATTAGTCCTAACAGAAAGTCAACAGTGGCAAATTAAACTTTGTACTTTAGATTGTAATTTCACTATATTTTAATTGCTTCAGACTAGAAGATTTTTGAAGAAACCTGGACCAGGAGAAATGTGGGACTATACAGTGCAGCTAAAACATACTGGGCAATCTACACTTCACTCCTCTTGCCTTCAGCTGGAAAAGTCCGATTATAAGGCATAAGCAACATCAGCCTTGAGGGTATCTTAAATTACTCCAGATGCTAGGTCCCAAGATGATTAAGCAGCAAAAAGACCTTGAAGAATTCCAAGGGAGAGACAGTAATGCCATGTCCCCTTTGCTCTGGTAACCCTAAGATTAGACAAGAGTTGTTGATTTATATTTTGCTGATCTTTCCTTGTCCAGTTTCACCAGATCCAATAAATAGGTGGTGGTGACTTTACACAAGTTACTTGGCCATTTTCCCAGGCATCACCATCACCTTGGTCTATCTCTTTCTATCTATATGAAGGCAGAAATAAAAGTGAGTTCAGTTATGTTTTAGGTATTGTTTTTTTAAGGCAAGGGAGAGAGGAGGGGAGGGTGGAAACTGTTTTCACATTAGGACACTAAAATTCAGGTCAATAATCAGTGAAATAGACATTAAATGTGACAGATTTTTAAAAAAGTTTAAGAAAACTCTTCACATACATTTGCTACCCATTACAGAGCTCTACTGTATTACAGTTCCTTTCCTCCACAGCAGCTCATGCTGTGTGATCTCCTGGGTAATCATTCAACACCCTTAAAAAGGCTGATAAAAGCTAAAGCTGCAAAATAAGCTGCAAATTTGTTTTATGGACTAATATCCTTTTGGGAATAAATAAAATACATTCTCTCTTGGAAACCACTATACTGTAGTTTGCTCTCTTTTATAGTCAAGAGAAAAGGGCAATTTTTTCAAACTGTATTAAGTCTTTTCATCTGTAGACAGTGCATCCAAATCCCCCTTCAGATAGAGGTTTTGTTTAGACTACTTAAATATCATGACTAAAAAAAACAATTTAGTTAGAGGAAAAAAAAACAAAAAACAAAACAACCAAGACAGAATTATTTGCTCAGTAAGACAGTACTCTGTTATTTCATAATTTAATTACATGATAATATTTAGTACATATTTAGTTGAGGGGAGAGGTGCTAACAAAAGTGTCTCAATGGATAAACAGTAAAAGACAAACTTCTCTTACCACTCCTGTATATTACTGCACCTCTTACGAATAAGTGTCTCCTGAGTATTCCAGTTTTCATTATCATTCACACATGAGACAATCAAACTCATATACATACAATCTCAATAATAGTTTTCAGTGCCTGGCAGGGTGGGGATGCTTCTTCCTGCTTGTTGCATTTTCCTCTAGAAAAAGTGTAGGCTCCCTACCTCCACCTATACTGAATTAGGCTCCAGATCCTGCAGACAACAGCATACATGTCATCATATTCTGTTCCACAGCATTACACATATATTTGTGTAATCATATGCATTGTTTCCCTAAACTGCAGAACACTAGAACTGCCTTTGTTGTTATGCATAGTTCATGCTATTCAGTCAGGATTAAGAATTCATTCCATTAAGGATTTTTTAGAAAATAACTAATAGTTTGAAACTTTTAATCATGTAAAAAATATATTCAGTGTTCTTGTTAAATGTTACTTCTTCAAGATACTCTGAGTCAAATACATGTGAGTTTTATTAAAACAGAATTGTATATATCAAGGAAAACAGACTTTTAAAACATGGAAAGAGAAATGTCAGGCCAAGATGAATTGCAATATTGATTTTGTGAGGATAAATGGGTTTTGTAATATTAATATAGAGAAACCTTTATTACATTGACTCTCTAGGTGCAGTTAGAGCCTCTCCAGCAATCTGTTTAAAATCTTCATTTTTCATCCTTATGGGAAAACCTCACTTGCTAAATGGATTTCATAAACAGTAATCTGTCAAGATATATATATATATATAGATAAACAATTTGTGATGTTCATTGACTAGTTCATTATAGTAAACAATACAGAGGTAAAGCATTTCAAATGTGTACCAATGCCCACAACCATTAGAGATCTGTTCAGATCGCTGCAAACACCCAGTATTTCTAATTCTTTGCCAAGGAAATTTTCCTGCTTCATAAGCCAAAATACATTAAAAAACATGGAGTTCCTCTTTTATCTCAAACCCCTCACATAATAAATCAGCTCACATATGCATTCCTAAGACTGGGAGAATTTTAAAGCCTCACAGTCTCTACATGTCACGATTTTTGCTTCTCTTCTGGTATTGTGCCAAGACAGACATGTCTTTGCCACTACACATAGCTCAAACCCTTTTCATTCTGTAACCACAGAGTCCTTAAAAGACACTTGAAGCAACCATGGTTTAAATGACTTTGCAACTTTATAGAGGAAGAAAAAACCCCTATTACTCTTTTTAAGAAGATATTAACAGTTAAAGAAATGGATTAAAGTAGATTAACAAATAAAGACTTGGATTATCATTTTCAGTGAATAAATATTTCTGCCTGAGGAACAGAGGTACATTGCCCAAGTGGATGATAACCAAAAGGAAACCAAGCATATATAACACAAGTTAATCATGTTAATGTACTACCAGAGCAGCCTTCAATACTGTCATGAGGATTAAGCAGTATTAAGGCATTAAAACCAGCTCTCTAAATTCCAGAATTGTAAAAACTTTCCATCTTTACATCAGGATCTGGATCTAGAGAATTCTAGGTATTTCCGTATTTTGAATTTCGGAAGGCAGCTCAAAATGCAGGTAATTGAAGGCCAATATCTAGCTCAGGAAACCTATTGTTTAACGCAGACACAAACCTCTCCGTTACCTGCTAAAACTGAGGGGAAAAAGAAATCTATTACAAGTAACAAAAAAAAAAATCTTTAATAGTAAGGAAATTGTATTTAAAAGGGAACTTTAATATTACACCGATTTTATTCCTTACCATTAGAAATGACAGGAAGTGAAAATAGGAAGTCCTTACTCCTACAGATTACTTTATGGCCATTAGCAGAGTCCTCTGTGACCCGCCACACTAAAAAATAATTTTTAAAATCTCCTAATGAGTGACAGCAGCATAAAAATTAAAGTGAAAAATCTGCAGAATAATGTCAAATATATGCAAGATGACACTGATAATCACTGCCTAAAAGCATGTCTACCCCACAGTAGCTGGGGGAAAGGAACACGGGGAGGAGAATGTTGTACAGATTTTGCTTCTGCCTGTGTTTGGTTTTTTTTTTTTTTTAAAGGCAAAATTACTAAATATAACAAAACATTTTAATACCGTCAGTCTGCATGAAAATATGATAGCATTAGAGTTGTGCAATCTTTCTGAACAATATTTAAAAGAAAATTGGGATTGTGGGGATTAAGCAAGAAATATGATCCTGGAAAAGAAAGATAGAGCAAGAGTTGAAATAGCAATGCACTACTTATAGATAGATTTTTCCTCTTACATTCCAGGGAATATATCCACGTAATTTCAGTGTACCTAGAGGCCCCAGGCTACATTAGATAAACAATGTACCCTGTGGCATATACCTAAATGCTGAAAAAGAATACACTACTTCAGAAAAAACATTTTTTTTAAGAGGAAAGGTGCTGTGAATATTTCTACTGCTGCTGCTGCAAGAAATTTGGAAAGACAGGTATATCTGTATATATTTACATTTTTTTTTCCATTAAAATATCTTCCTGAGATCTTCAAAAGCATTCACTGGTTATAAGAATGCACATTACCTGCATATTAATAGTCAGTGATTAACACCTCAGGAACCAACACATCTTACTGAAGATGCAGAGGAAACATACAGAAACAATTACCAAATAGTTATAACATTAGATAGCATTAGTATTACACAGCTTTCATGTCGTTTCTACTTAAATCTGTGGCAAAACTTCTATTTCCTTCAGCTGATGAGAGCACAGAGGGTTGTATAACATACCACACATAAATCAGGGTGCACACCTGAATTCAAAGGATTAATGTAACTGGAGACCATCTTTCCATTGTCACTAAACCTTTGAATGAGGTGCTATGAGGAAAATGTGACAAGGAGGTTATAAGTGACCTGTACAAAAGAAACACTCACCTCCCTGTGACAGAGTCAAATCCAAAATAAAGTTCTTTGCAACGTTCACATGTCTGTCCCGTTACAGAGGCATCTTGGCAAATACATTGGCCAGTTAGTTTATCACAGATCTGATTCACTGAACCAGCTATGTGGCACAGGCATGGCAGACAGCCAGTGACACTGGATGGAGAAAAATAAAAACCTGGAAAAGAAAGGGATTTTGAGAACAGACAATATGCAAAAAGTGAACACAGTAAGATTATTATTAACTTGTATATAATCAGGGATGAAACAACAGAACCAAAGTGTAGGCAACACACAGCATCAACTCAAATAAAGCAATATAGCTCTTCTGCAGAGATGAGCTTCTAAATCTTCTCATTGGCCCTTTGTAAAGCTACTACTCATCCTCCAGTTGCCAACTCCAGTTTTTTATTCTGTCTCTTCAGACTTTATATTAAATGGAGAAAATGCAAAATAGGGGGAGTACATTAATGTGTCTGTGGGGAAAGTAAAGACCCAGGGACATAAGAGGTATTAATGAATGCACCACAGCAGTAGAAACAAAAAAATTAACATACAAGAACAGACATTTGTCCGTTCTAGTCTGGGATCTCATCTCTGACAATGGCCAGCTGCAAAACACAAGAAATACACTTCTCTTAATCTTTCCCAACCAGTAGTTGGTTTAATCCTTGAAACATGATGATGTTTCTTAGGAAAAACTACATTTGATGAGCATTCTCAGGTCTATGTAAAATTTATATCTTACACCTCCTCAACAGAGAGCTTGTATCCTACAAAAATACATTTACAGAAACTAATAAACTGATGAAAAAAAAAGCTAATCCACTATTAAAAATCTTTCATTCTGAACCCTATCCTTCCCTTCCTATATTATTTTCAGTTATGATTTGGGGCATTCACGTCACCTTCCCCACAGTATATCTGGTAAGCTTCTGCTATACTGTCTTTCATCCTTTGCCCTCCAAGCAATTGTTACCTATGCAAATCTCTAACACATTACTGATAAATGTAGTTAGAGTTTTTACACCTCTAAGTTGGTCATTGAAGAACTTGCCTGTTATTCACAGCCTCACCTGAAATTCCAAACAGAAGAGCTTTTACACACTTTTTAATGATGCCTTACCACTTACATAATCCATTTTGCTATATATGGATTTATTCCATTCTTGCTAATTTCTTTTCTGTATGTCTGATCAAAAGACAATTCAAGTAGCAGCAAGCCAGTAAGAAATACAATTACATAGTTTTCCAAAATTATTTTCTATTTTTACCTGATTATTAATGGATGTTTAACAGATTTTCACACAGATTGCTCTGCTTGACTTTTTTTTTTTTTTTTTTTTTTTTTTTAGTACAGTTGATTAAAAATGTAGCAATATATAAGAGTTCTGCAAATGATGATGGTGACAGTATTAACTGTTTCTAGTCAACTGCAAGTACCTGTCTTTGAACATTAATCCTAAAATAGGGCCATTGACAGGAATTTCTATCTCAGCTGGTTACTATTAATTTTTATTGCACAACTTCAATAGGAGAATTTCAACCGTTACTCAGATACACAGTATTTGCACAGACTTCTCAGACTTCTCTCTCCAGATAAAGTTCAATCAGTTTCTTCTCAGTCATGTTCTCAGTTACTGAATCTTTTTTGCTGTCCAATAACTTCCTGATGTCCCGCTTTATAATAAAGAGCCCAAAATTGTATTGTAACATGTCATATCACCCAAGACCTTATTATTTATTTTGTCTACAAGAGATAGCTTTATATATACACCCCTAGGGTGGTATTCTCTGTCTTTGCAGCACAGTTGCACTGTGAGCTCATATCCAAATAGCAAAGGAACTAAACAAATTGAAAACATTAGAATTTTACTGCTCAAATCTTTGTTCAAGTTTAGCCTCTGGTCCTCAGTGAGATAAATCTCAAGTGGACAGTGAAGTGATATCAGTCTCCAGTTAACATACATTCGCATCATAAAAAACCATGCTGTTGGCACTTTATTCCAGAGAGGCCCCGAACTGAGCCACCACAGAGACTGAATAGCTTGAAGTTATTAGTGAGGCAGCATGTATTATCTCATACTGCAGTTGTCTGCGCAGTACAGTGCCCATCCTGTGCATAAATAGAGGAGACCATTTCCCAGCAATGTCACTCTTGAGCACAATGAATGACTCCACTCAAAGAACGTAACAGGAAGATAGGAAACAAGTTTAAGCCTGGACTCCTGCAGAAGGTCAAAGCACTTCTTCAGGACCCAGTTTATAGTTGCAGTAAATGATAAGCACTCAGGCTAAAACAGATCCTTGTCCATCTGAAAGTTTGTATTGAATTAATGTCTAAGAAAATAATATAGTGGGTAAATAAGCACATATCTAGAAAATAAATTCATTTTATCTAAGTAGGATTAATCACTATAGCATATCTTATTTTTGTCCTAGCAGTGAAATTCATCATTATTAAGAGTCTATACCTTAATGTTAAACATCCTGGCTCTCCTAATGTCATACTGTCTAAACCTCTGTAGAGCAGTGAAGGATCTGATATGATATTTTTTGAGAATCTTTTAGAAATGCTCTAAAAGTTTAAGTTTCTGGATACTATCACTATTATTATTTTTCTTCAAAAGTAGCAAGATAAAGTATTCTTTTAAGTAAAATTGAAGGATAGGAAAATGGGAGAAAGTCCTTCCCCCAACTAATGTAGAAGTAAATTAACATGACTAGACAAAAAGAGAACAGATACTGGATTACAAATTCATACTGTTTGTCATAACCACTATTATTTAGTTCCAACACCTAGACTTTGGCAGGAAAGAGTAATAAACAACTTAATGCAAGCTTAATTTACAGCAAGGTTAGAAGGGCTCATAAAAGCTGCTTTATGAAGGATCCACTGTTGTGTAATAGAGCCAATTTCCAATTTTAAGACAGATATTGCAAATCTCTACAAGATCTACATATTTAGTATTATGCATATTCTTTTTCAGTTTTTTTTTTCCAATTCAACCATAACTGATCACATTTCTCAATCAAACATAGTCTTCAAAAGGAAGAATGAGAGTCAGAGCAAAGTATTCAGCTTCCTTTTTTACTACTACTTACTATTATTACTTATTACTTATTTACTATATTACTTACTATTTCTCCCTCTGTGTAGTTCATGGAAAAGGAACAGCCAAACAATTCCTTAACACTTTTACATGCTTACCAACTATGGCAGTAATGCTCATTTCTTAACCACAGTCTGTGCTTCAAAATGCACAGTTAACAACACTGACAACGTTGTCACAACATAATTCCATTTTTCTGGCCAAGAAGAGAGGTAATACATACACAAAACCTCAGTATTGGTGCCCAGCCACACATCCTACATGCTGGTTTACATCTTTGCCATACTACATACTGCTCCATGAAAAGCTGGGGTCACCGAGTACAGAAATTTTTTTTTAATTATTTTTTTTTAAACAGCTTTGCTGCTCTCATAACAGGATCCGAGACCTATGTTGAACAGGATTTGTATGGCACAAATCCCAATTGGTGTGGCAACACAGTCCTGGAATGAGACAGAGACAAACTGTTCACAACCATTTGGTAGCTGAAAAGACCAATTTTCTACCACTGCAACCTAGGACATCTCAAAAGCAATTTTATATACAAGGTAAAACTGCTCTTCCATTTGGTTTCATGTTAGAACCAAGTGTTCTTCTCTTTGCATATGCCATTACTTTAAAAAAAATGTAAATATACAGAATTCTACCAAAAATGTTACTTGTATGAGAACAAACTGGAAGACAGCAGGTCATGGATACAGCCTAATAAATTAACACATAGCTGAATGCTCCAGAAAAATCTCATGATGAAATAATTTCCCGACGTTACACCCAGTTTGAATTTTTCTCCATTGGCAACTCTTCCTGCATTAAGATTTTGGTAACTTTTGGAAACCTCTCAAATTTTATCAAAACACACAGAATATATGCCACAAGGGGGCATTATTTTAAATACCACTAACTATAACAAACTTAAAATCACACAGAAAAAAGTCAAAAAAAACCCAAACACAGAAAAATGTATGACCTGTATTTTGACTAAGGCAACTTGGACCACAGAGTTGAAATATCCCAACAGCCTAGGAAGTCCTCAGTATGTTTTTAGGAGTGCCAGTTTTAATTAATGGTATGCTTTTAATTAGGCTGTGTTTGCTACATACACACTTGGAGTATACTTTCGTACCTTTGTCCCAAGGCAAAGCCATAGGACATGTTCAGAGTACTTGAAACCATTCACCTTAACAGCAGTATTACTAGCAGGTTATACTCACTCTCCTTTGGAACACACTAACAAAGAATATTTATATAAAAGTTAGATATACTAAATGTCTAAATGAGCTCACACTGCAATCAACATGAAAATGTCGGTGAAAATACTGTAGGACTACAATGCTTTTACAGTGATAAGGATTTACACTTTCCCCTGCAGAAGAGAGCTCAGTGTTCAGCACATACATGCTCATACTTACTTAGAAAATTTAAAAATAATTCTTACAGCAAGATTTTTTAATTTTTACTTTTTTTTTTTAACAGGAACTATTGTGGAAGTATTCCTTTGAGTGCCATGTAAGCTTTTCTACAAACCAGTCTGTTCATACTATCAATTAAACCTTTTTAAACCATTTAGTTCTGCATAAACCCTGGCCTTTCTTTTTCAAGGACAAGGGCGGTCACTGACTCGGGAAGCCTTGACATCACTCCTCTGCCGATCTCTGATAAAGTGGCTGCTGTAGAGGGTTAGCAGGTCAAATAGCACTGGAGGAGGAACTAAGAAAAACAGAACGCTGCCTTATTTATTAGTATATGTACCTAAAATAATTTAAATGAAAGTATTTTTAAAAATACTTAATGGAGGTTAAGCAGCTTTTTTAACCTCTGTTCAAATTATTGAATGGCATATTAAAACCAATGGAGCTATAATGTACCTTTTAATGTGACCTGCTACTTTAATAAATTGCATATGTATTTAACTTGAACTAAATCTATCTGTTTAATATTATTACTAAGGGTAGGTTAATATTACCTACAGTTTCACTTTACCCACCTACTTTTTAAAACAAAAACATTAAAATATAACCACAGAGCTTCCCACTTACAATGCACATTTAAAGTCTGTTTACAGTAATATGGTACAAAATCTTGAACTGATACGTAGCAACTGCGGTATCACCTACTTGTAGGACCGAACTGTAAGCAGTCCTTGAGAAAGCCAGCACATCCTCAACACACCAAGGCAGGTGAATGCTTTTTAAGTGGCATGATTGCCAGCCCCAGCAAAGTTTAAGCAACCATCTCTGTGCCTCCTGTCATGCTCACTTCTGTGCATGAAGCACCCTTCCTGAAGAGTTTGCAATCTGACTTCCAAATCCACATTTTTATTACAAGGATAGCTGCTGTTCATCAAACTATGCTAGTTTTACATCTTATTTGGTGAATGGGCCATGACAATTTGTGTATTTTCTCAGTATCTGGAGGAACTCGTTTTAACCTTATTTTGTTCAAAGCTGCAGTAATAACACAAATTATACAATCTCTGGCAATGGAATAAATATTTGATGGCCATCAGGACATTGATACTTTCTTCTCGTTCACACAGTTACGACAAAATGGAAAAATAGTTAATAATATGTCAGAGACATGTCAGACATGAAGGTGTCTAAGCACATATTAAAAAGCGTAGAAGCTATGATGACATCCAACAAAGCAAAACTTACTACACCAAATAGATTGTCTTCCAATTTCCTTACCTGGTTTACACTCATTACACCTTCTTCCCTGACGCTGAGGCAAACATACACACTGTCCAGAAATGTGGTCACAAACTGTTCCTGCCAATGTGCCCAGAGCATCACAGTCACAACGCTGGCAGCCGAGGAGGTTGCTCATGCTGAGGTTGTACATATGAAGCATGCACCGACTGCACTGAAGGCCAGTTACACCAGCTTTGCAAGGACACTGTCCTGTTGATTTGTCACAAAGCAGAGAGCCATCTACTGTACCTGCCTTATCACAGTTACATGGCAGACAAACAAAGGAAAGATTTTCCTGTACTTTGTGGTAGCCATCTAGGCACTGGTTGCATTGTCTTCCTCCAATGTTTGGTTTACACGCACATTGCCCTGTCTTCGCATCACACACAGTTCCAGAAAATGACCCCGCAATGTTACATTCACAAGCCTTACAACCAGTTACATCCAGCCCATAAAAGTTGTCCATGCACGTGTCACAGTGAAGCCCTTTCACTCGTTCTTTACAACTGCACTGCCCAGAGAGAGGGTTGCAGAACTGGTTCACTGAGCCGTGGCTGTTGCACCAACAAGGCTCGCATCCATCTTCATTAGAATATCTGAGAGCTTTAAAACCAAAATTGCAACTATCACACCTAAGACCTGGAAAGAGAAAAGGTATTAATAAGAAAAGCTGAAAAGCTATTCATTTTAATTTTAAAAAAGGATAAGTACACTACACTTGGGAAAAAAAAATAAAGAGAGAAAGGAAAGAACCAATATTCTCCGCTAGCATAATTAACAGGAATGACAGGGCTGCACAAATCAATTGAATAACAGTGGCATCCCAAAAATCTGTTTACTTTTCCAATTTGTTTCAGAAGCAACGCATTTCTGCTGGCTTCTCAGTACAATTTAAGATACTTCTGCAAGTGATTCTTTGTAACATTTCTAAGACAAACCAGAATTAATCTCTCTGTGCCCCAGAATAGGACCTGTTGCACAATCAATGCTCAGGTGAACTCTTCACCTTGTATCGCAAAAACACAATATACAGGGCTCTCAATCTGTTCTGATAACAGATTTATATATTGTATTAAAAGCATTAAATATACTCTAGGACAACACAAGTTAGACTAATTACAATGAATGAGTTACTTAACACTGTACGTCAGTTTTAACATTGATTACATTTATGTTAGTGTTTATCATTAGCCCTTACTAAAAGCAGAAAATGTTTTCCATAACCCCAAATGAATTATTTTTATCTAAATATATGATTTAGTTAACTCCTCCAGTACATTAAAATCCAAACTGTTTTCTTTATCCTGTAGTTTTATTAGCTTTGTTTTCAAAGTCATCACTTGCGTTATCCCTGCCCTAAGGGATGGCATTTGTATTTTAGTTTATAAAATGTACATTACAAGAAAGCAAACTAGATTATTGTATGAAAAATGCAAATTCATTGTTATGTATTTTCCCTTGCAATGGGAAAATCCTTCACTACGAAGCCATCACTTAATTATTGCATATAGAATAATATAAATACAGTGTTCTAGCAAAATATTGTCATCATTTTAAAAAATACAAAACTATACAAAAATACATCTAGCAACTTACACGTAGAAAAATAAAACTAAAAATGGTAGGAAATGCATTATACATATGGATAAAAACTCAAAAACTCCAACAGAAGGCAAGTTCCTTAACAGTGATGAATGACTCACCTAAGGCATATCATTTAATTTCAATAAGGAAAATAAAAAAGGACTACTATTGCTGCAAATTTTAAAAATAACTGTATTGTTAACAAGAATTATGACTCATTTTGAACTATTAAAATTGGTCTACATGGATTCATATCATATCAGTTTTAAAAATATGCGCAGTGCTTATTTGAATATGCCATACATATTCCTGACAGGTAATCTATTCCTAACGATACTGAGGAAGGCCTACAGGGCATCACATTCAATGTTAACAAGTACAGGGGAGTTAGCACGCTTGGCATTTAATTCACATTCTTCTACCTTTTTATTCTAGATGAATGACCTACTTTAATAAAATTATTGGTGCTAATGTATTTTACTGGTGATAGAATCATTAGTAAGATTTAACAGTTGTGTTAACTCTAACAGTTCATGTTTCATAACACTGCAGTCTATAGTTGCATTTTTCTGTTATCGTGTTTGTTTAAATAGATAAAATGGCAATAGACAGATTGCTCTAAAAACCAATTTAGAAATCCAAAGAGGAAAGCTCTTTGTTAAAGTTTGCTGCACACGTTCCAATATACAGAAGCTTATTTACAATTGGTTTGGAAAACAACAACAAAAAAAAGAATCCTGTCTGGAAAGAATTATGTCTTTATCCTGCAAACAACCACTTGCATAAGTACAGCCCCCCACCATAGTTACAGATAAATCTGCAGAAACCATAGAGTTACACATTTTTTGCATTACTATTTCAGTGGAAATGAAAATAATTCTTATTGTTTTCATCAAAGGGAGAAAACATTTAAAATAATATACAGACAATCAAATACATCAGAACCAGACTCTGCATTTCTTGTGTACCAAACTCCCACTGACTTAAGAAATGTTTTCACAGATGCAAACGTGAAATGTAGGCAAAGAATATATAACTAAGAATGCTCTGAAGTCCATTTTATCGGATGTAGAGAGTGGGCTTAAGATGCACACAGGTTATTTTTTACTCTTAGCACTATTTTTATCATATGGAAAACATAGGTACTTGTCATTCCACAGGAAAGAGGACAGAACCTGTTCAGGCTTATGTCTGTTTAGCATTATTTTCATTATTTGTTGTTATTTTGTATTTGCTTTTGGAAATTAGAAGAAGAAACAGACTCACAAGATTACAAATAAGTCAATATTCACAAGTCAGTGAGTTATAAATTAACATTTACTTGAACATTGTTAGTACAACTCACAGACATGGTTAGGTAAAGTAAAAAATAGATTACTAATTGTGTTAATAAAGCAGAAAAGGTTTTGTGGTTGGGGCATTTTTTGAGACATGGATAGTCTGAGACATGTACAGTTACCATGCAAGGCTCACTTTATCAGGAAATTCTCCTTGCATAATATTGTCATACATCAACATTTCAAAGTGTATTATATATACTGTGTATTTTGGGCACTTGATAAATTTTGTCCTTATGTGGCTGTGGCTCCCCTCAAATATGCTGGAAGTAATAAATTGCTATAATCAAATCTAATTTCTGAAAAATACCTGTGGGAGTAACAAACAAAAAAGCACGTCTTGTAAAAAAAATGATAAATAACACAGAAGGTAGCAGTTTATTATAATCAGCTTGGCATTGAATTACAAAATTAAAATTATGTGGCCCTTGATAACTAACCCTAGCTATGTACATGATCTGTGGAATTATGTTGACTTATTTTGCATTTCATAGGAACAGTTCAAAGAAATATAATAGAAAAAAATGGATAGATTTATCACAAAGGACCCTGTAGCACAGAATATTTTGAGAAAAAAATCCATTTATTTTGGTCTATTAAGAAAACTAGCATGGAAACGATTTTCTTAGAACTCATTAAGTATAAAACATTTTGAAAAAGTGTTAATTTCCTAAAAGAAACATCTATGCAGTAAGCAAATTACATTATTTCTGTGACTTATTAGTATGGAGCTATGTAAGCTAATGTAGCTATGCCGTAAAGAAACTTCTAAAGGGTTGATTAAACTAAGCTTCAAGCTGTAGATTGATAGAATTATTAAATTAATACTTTTTCAACAGTTAATTTCATTCATTTTTATAATCTGCCTTCAGCAAAGAAGTTTACTATACTTTTCATTTAGAAACCAAGTGTGTTTTATTTCCAGTGAAAACAAGAAAAATGGCTCCAAACTCTTGCATTACACATACCAATAACATTTGCTTTGCACTTGCACTGGCCTGAATTTTGGTGACAGGTAATATCTCCATTGACTGTCCCAGAGGTATTACAGTTACAGGGACTGCAGCCATCAGGGTTTGACTGTTGTAGATTGTAGAATCCTTCCTGGCACTGATTGCATTGTCTGCCAGACACATGTCTCTTACAATTACACTGGCCTCCAATCTAAAAAGATACAAAATATTATAGAATGATGAACATACCTATTTTTAGATGATACATTCATTAGCAACAAGAATGGGAGTATGAGTCGGGGAGGAGAAAACTTTAAATGGAACAGAAAAAAAATAAGCCTATGTAACACATACTTTTTTAATTTGTTGAGAGAGAGAGAAAAGAAATATTAAATAGAGCGCAACTATTCATTTTTTAAATAGAGTTTAAAAGATCTGTTTTTTCAAAACAGAAGGAAAAAAGAATTGAGTAAACAATGTGGCAATATTTACTATCTGGACAGAGAAAACTGCAAAGAATAATTACAAAATTGCATTGTATAAATGGTGACTATTAAAACAAACAGTACTTTTTCAGATCAGTTACTGCAAACCACTATCTTTTTCAAAGGTCAAGTTTTGCATATTTTTCTCCAACCATATACTTATTTATTTTAGTGAAAATGTTAAACAGGAACAAAGCAAAGTTGAAAGATTTCCTTTCTGATCACTCATCCAAGATAAATTTTCTCTTCCTTTAGAGAAGGATGTCACCTAACAGATCAGTATCTGAAACGCTCTCCCTCTTTGCTTGGTTCAGCTGGGTTCCAAGTGTTCCACTTCAGTGGTGGGATATAAAGGTCCTCTCCTACTCCCTAAATGAGCAGCATTGCTATTTGAAAGGAGCTGAGGCATCCTTTGTTATGCCTGGGCCATGATCCGGGAGTACGTCTCATCTTGTGCAAGATTAAAGGACTCCTTGAAAGCTATTTCAATTTCAAACCTCTAAAAGCCAGAAAAAACACAATATCTATATTTATCATTTTCCTATATGGTGGGAAAACTGGCCACAGGGAAAGGGCAATGGCACAGGGACAGGGAAAGAAATGGAAGACATCAGTCAATACACAACACAGATGGGAATAGGGAGTCAAAGCAACACAGAGATGCAGATGTGAATTGGCAAAAGGTTTAGGATTCATAATCAAGGAACTTAAACTACCTTTTCTATGTCAAGTATTCTGGGGAATGCAGAGATCACACAAAACAATTAAACTCTGCATTATAAGGAATTTTCTTTGGGTCAGTGTATTTTTTCCATTGCAATATTTACAACCATGAAAAAGTACAGTGATTCAAAACTAGTTATTCAAATACAACATCAACAGCCGTAGTTCAATTGTACTTCACTTTTAATTTGGTACCAGAACAAAATTTCTCTTAACAGCTGTCTCTCTCATCTTACGCCTATGAGTCAAGCAAAGCTGAAACAAAAGGAGAGTCCTGTGGCATTAGAGACAAAGCTACTTGGAAGTTCCACTTAAAATAAATGTTATTATCATACCCTTCAATCGATAATGAAGATCTAAGCTATATTAGTACAAGATAAAATAGAGTATTTCAACATCTAATAGTAAATTCTCAGTGCAGAAAACACTGAAAGTTAGAGAAGCATGTACTCCTACCCCTTCCTCATAAAAGGATTCTGTAGTCCAATAAAACCTCTTCAATATACTTTCATGATAGTGATCTATTTCTGATGTATCATCAGTCACATTTTTCAGGAAATGAAGATATTAAAAAGGCAAGAAAATAATATTTTATAAACAAAAGGCATGACAACAGCAAGTACATAAAGGTAAGAGTTAAGAGACCAGAACAGCAGGAAAATCAGCAACAAGGATTTTCAAGTTATTCCCTTCTAGACTGGATTTGATCTAGATATTTAGTTTATTGTAAGAGGCTCAGTCATGCATCACAGCTGTTCATCAGAGAACTCACATGTGAAAAGCAACTCTGAGTTTAATCCTAAATGAAGAAAAATACCTAGTTTAATACATAACTGTAAAATAAACATTTTGTGTTAGTGATCATGGCATACTCAGATTACACAATAGCAAGTATTATATAAAGATCTCTCATTAGCACTCAAAAAACATATAGCTTATACCCAAAAAGACTTTAAAGTTAGTCCAAAAACTATCACATAAAGGAAAGCATTACATGCAAAAAGTCAAAATAAGGAAGTTAAATAAGAGACGACAACCACCGCTAAATTGTAAAACCAGAATAAGGCAACACAAAAATCAGCTTTTAGAAAGCAACGTCCTTAAGGCATGAAGGGAAAAAAAATATTTTTTTCAAATGTCGGAAACAAAGGAAGACTACCAGAGAATCAGTGAGGACAGTAAATACTTAAGTGGTATGATTATTATCTGAAACTCATATTGGACATCAGAACTTTTCACTAAGAGGGAACTGCAGCATCAGTAACAGGTTGCCCAGAGGCAATGTGGAATCTCCAACCGCAGAGGTATCAAGACTCATCCAGACAAAATCATGACTGACTGGATTTAGCATTGACAACAAGCATGATTTGAGCTAGAGCGGATGACCAACTAATACTTCTGTGATTCTGTGTAGCATTCAGGAAAGAAAACCACAACAGAGATTGCAAAGAAAGTATTTCACAGCTGTGCACCATGAAAGAGGTGTTACCATTCTATATTAGGAATGATTTTCAAGACTGATTTCAAACCAAAATGTCAGAAGGAAAGATTTTAGCAAAATCTCTTCTGCTGAAAAGTGACTACACAAGTCAAGAGTTCTAGATGAACGGAAATATAAAACTCAGCTATTAATATAAAACTCAGTCATTAATTGCTTAAAACAACCTCAGTAAAAGAAGAATAAAATTATAAAAGTTACATCAATCTCCCTAAAAGGCTGTAAGGAAGCTTCTGGGATCCACACACTAGCAGCCTTTTTCTGTACAGAACAAATTAATAGAAACGAACACATGAGTTTGATATATCGGAAAAGACTGGTATTTTTTTTTGCAAAGAAAAATCATGCTTCGTGATTCTACTGCATTTTTTTTTTAAGCCAGCAGCATTTGGAAACATTGCATATACTGAACCAAATGGATGATCAAAAAGTCAAATTAATTTCTACATCAAGAAGTACAAATTTAATGCCTGGGGAAAACCAATGCTGACTATAGGTAGACAGTGATGAGTCCAAAATTAGCTATTATCACTCGAGAAGAGCTGTTAAAGCAGCTCCATTCCACCTAAAAATAATTTGAAAGCTCTGAGACAGTTAAAAAGGCAATGGGAACACTGGAATTATTAGGAAAATAACTGAAAATTATACAGAAAATGTAATAAATATCTATTATGTATCAATATTTTGCACAATTTGTATATCTGGTTACCCTCTCTAAAATAAAAGAGGTTGCAGAGTGAATAGAATAAGCAAAGATACAAATGAAAACAGACCAAAAAAAAGACGTTTCACTTTGGAAAGAGATGACTAAGATGAAGGGAATGCATGTCTATAAAATCATGAATGGCTTACAGAATGAATACAAATTATTTCTCACAATATAAAAAGGAGAGAACACCCTGAAAATTATCAGAAAGTAAACTTAAAAGAATTTATAAAGTACGTTTTCTATACACTTCGAAGTGTACAGAAAAATACACTTTTTTTCAAGTGCATTAAAAATCAGTTAGATTAATTCTGTACTTGGACACCAAACATGATAACTCAGATGAAACCCCTAAATTTGGCTCATGTAGTCCCAAAACCATAAATAACTGGAATCTAGAAAAAGTGTATCACAGAAGCATCATGCTTCTTAATATCAGCTTCTGGTAACTATCAGAGAGGATGCTAGATCGAAGTCTCATTTCATCCAGTATGGCTGTTCTTACCATAAATACATGGCAACCCAAGTCTAACTGTGAGCAGATGGTAGCCACTTCCTGATGCAACAAGTGAAATGTGTAGAATACCGAATACTAAGAGAAGTAAAGAGCATAATTTTAAGTGTCAAGCTATTACAAGAAGCAGTAATTTCCATTCAGTTGCAGAAAATATATGTCCCCAAACTTTCTCTTAAAAGGGTAAAAAATTATGCCAGAAGAATAAATATAACTCTTCAGAGTGAGGAAGAAATATCTGGCCAACTGAAGAATGCAATCCAAATTTTCTCCAGGAACCAGCCAATGAAACCTCTTGGAGATTTCCCTGTATTAATTTCCTCCTACCTAGCTGTCACGCAGAAAAGAGTTTTCCATCTGTAATCGATACAAGTGGCAACTGGTTTCCTGATTCTAAAACGGGTGAAAGTGTTTTCTGGCAGTTAGAGGAAGGTATAGGAAACTAAAGTTTTTGTTATAGGGAGGCTTATCAGATTGCTTCTTAATAGATCGGAAAATAGGTTTCTATGTACCAGATTAGAGGATCTATAAATAATCCACTGACATTCTTCCATAACACTGATTTCAAAGCTTTGTGAAAAAAAAAAAAAAAAAAAAAGTCAAGCAGAAAAAATTCTATAGGCAAGACAAAAAGGAGCCTCTGATTATATTCACAAATTACTATTTTGCTTTTGTCTTAGTTGTAAGTGACTAGAAACCTTTCCATTCTGCTTCTTCAGCCATTTTCTGTCAATATAGGGTATCAAGATGAAAGATATCTATTGAAGTTTAGCCTCTGAAATACATAATAACAAATTCAATTATATAGCTCCACTTTAACACTGCCTTCTATAGTAAATATCAGCTAAGGGAAATATGCCACTGTAATGTACCCCATATTACAGAGGGTTTGATTTTCATACACTACATACACTTCAAGTAGCTGTGCAGAATTTTAGATTAAAAGTTGAGGAATATGCTCCAGATAAAAATAGTAGACGGAGGGGGGAAAAGTAGTTAAAAGGATTTGTAAAACTGGGAATGTTTTTAAGGTTCTGTGCTTGCCTGCCCTGGATGCTAAGCTTGTTAATATTTTCAGTAGCAGACTCTGAAGAGAGATGAGAGAATATGATTACAAGCCCCACAGATCACCCCAGCTCAGATGTAGAGCCAGCACCATCATGACCCAGAGGGCACCAACCAGCCTTAATGGCCCCGATCAGCCTTACAGGGGGCCTCCACTCACACCCTCTGCCCACAGCCCAAGAGCTCCAGATAAGCTCCAGTCTGGGCATCCTAACCTTGC